TCGCTTCTTCTTACATGTTGCCTGAGGTCGTTTGTGCTGCAAACGAATTCCTTACGAGCAGAAGAACAGGTGAAAAGTGGACTTCGTTGCAGCAGAGGCGAACATTTTGTCTTGTACTGATGTATAGCGCAGTGTTGCCCAACCTCTTTGGGAACACAGACCGGCAAATTTCCATAAAATTTTTGCCAGACCAGCAAATTCCAAAAAAAATGTTTGCCGAGTGGCGAAGTTCCATAAAATTTTTGCAGACTCGAAGAAGTCTTGCTTGGGAGATTTTATGGCAGGAAGTTAAGAGTTTCTGCATCTGTGCAAAAATTGAGTTGAGCACCAATGAAGCAGCTATAGCAGAAAGTCATGAAAATTTGAAAGTTGGGCTTACAGAAAGGTTTCACAGAATGAAAAATAAGAAAAATCTTTTCAGCAGGTGGAAATGTGTCAGGAGTGTTATTAGGAGTGAAGCCAGCTTTCATTTTTCGTCGGATAATTTCAACTGTCATTATTCTTCCGAAATTTTTGGTAGGAATAAACTTCATCCCTAATTTTGATCGATGTATCCTGCTGAAAATTTCCCACAGACAGGCAAAAAGCACAACAATTTTTAGATTTATTTATATGCATCAGAACGAGTCACGGATTCTGATTGTTGGAAGCAGATTTCAGGTGGATTAAAGCAAGGATTATTTGGAAGACTTGTTTCTGGATTTTTAACACTGGCAAGACACGGAAATATCTGTATTCAATCTCCACTAAACGCCTGGGATCAACTTGAGGATGGATTAATGTCCACTGAAAGTGTTGGATAATTTCCGCAAAGGAAGTATTTCATGTTCAGATTTCTGAATCTTTTTACGTCACGTAGCTTTTCCTCAATGCTTCCTTTGTTTTCTCGCAGATCTCTCAATGTCCCATTTTCATTTCTTCAATGTCTTTCTTGTGTATGTTCACATGTGCATGAGCACCGACCGGAAACCATCCTCTGATGGTTAGACGGAATTGTTGTGAAGAGAATACACTGTACCTTACAATTTACCGCAGAAATTAAAGAAAATTTGAAACCTTTTTTCTTTCGGACTTGAATAATAACGTTTCTTTCATACGCAAAACCTCCAGCAAACAGCGCATATAATCCCGCTCATCACAGCAAAGCCCATTGTCATCCATAAAAAAACCGCGTTTTCTGAGAAAATATAGGTCGACATTCTATGAGCTTTCGAAATGCTGGCATAAATAAAGGCAAAAGAACTCGAGATAAAATAAAATTCCACTCTACACAGTCCTGAAAATTACAAAATGGTTTACGAAAGAGAGACGATACACACGTCAGAAGAGAGCGTCTGAGGAACCCACTGGTGTTCTGCTAAAAGCAGGTCCAAGTACACCAATAATTTACAGTTTTCAAATAATAACGTTTTCAACACCGTAGTGATTCCACAAAAAAAAAATAACCCCCAACGGTACCTGACCTTCAAAACTATCAAAACGGGCAATCCGATGCCCCGAAGGAAACAGAAGCAGCGCAGCCGGAACAAAACGACGAAACAGACAAATGTTTTAGCCCGGAGGAACTCCTTTTATTTTTTGGCATGCTAAATTTTCTTTTTTCGCTATGATTTGTCCTGGTCCTGGAACATGATATTGCACAGCTCAGAGTTCTTCTGGTTCATGACAAAGGTTCTTCCAGGAACAATATGCGTTCTCTTCAAGGATTTGTGAAGCCGATGTTTCTGCCCAATGATATGCTCCCATTTGCGCACCTTGTGTCTGAAAACAATGCATTTTCATTTTTGAAAAACTAAAAATAGGCAGGATTCTTCCTTACTTGAGTAAGAATTGGGGCTGCGACATCTGTATACACATGACCGTTTTATCGGAGAAATCCGAATCGGTAACCAACTGAAGTTGACTATCCGCAGCCAGGTTGAATTCCAGCTGACTTTGCACAAATGACGTATCTGCAGTTGCTTGACCTCTGATAACAAATGCAGCTCTGCGAACAATTTTTGAAGTATATCAATATGTTTTCAAATACTTCTGCGATTATCTTCAACGCTAATTATGAGGATACGAGGGTTGTCCCACTTGGGCGCGACCTTGGTTATTTCTAGCGCATAGCCCACCATGTTGTAATCATTGTGATTCTTCGAATTTTTTCAACACATTTTTTTTCAATTTACTGCACAATGATAAGTAAAAAAACGTTCCAGTTATGGCCAGAGTTCTCCACCCATAAAAATGTTTCAGGCCAGCTGAAACTTTAAATTTCTTTCTTGTTTCAACCATTAACAAAAATTTAGAAACTTTCATGGTTTAAAAAAAATTTTTAATTGTTACAAGAGAACAGGCTTTTTTAGCACCCCTTAACAAGGTTGGAGAACTCTGGAAAGATGAGCTCGTAACTGGAAAGTTTGCATTATCATGATGATGTAGTTATAAAATTTTTTTAAAGCCAAACAAAAATCTCAAAACCTTGCAACATCATAATAAGCGATATCAAAAATTTTTTACTGTCAAACATACTCTAGAAATGATGGGCCAACACTCGTATATTCGGAAAACCTAGAGATAAGTGGAGTCGCTGTGCCAAGAATCATTGCATTTATTTGAAATCCACGAAAATGTATAAAAAGACGCTGTACCGCATAAGTGAAGATGATGAGAAACGGGATCAGCAGCTGAAATCTTACCTGTTGTCTATGAGAGAATGCGCAGTCTTGTACCACAAGCTGATTTCAACTTGACCACCCAGGTCCAAGGAAATCCCTCCCAGCAAATTCAGCTGCGTCATGATCCCGTTGCTCAGCGCAATTTTCTGGCTGTGGTCGTGCAACACGAATACACCCTGCAAAACATGCCATCGTAAACTCATCATAAATGCATTCCCTGTTCCCTTGAGACAGACACAGGCTTTATATGATGCTGCGGTCGCTAAAATTACTCTTGATGATAAACCATGGCATGCTTAAAAGTCTGTCCAAATCACGCATTAATTTCATAAAAGGGAAATCAGTATTTGAACTATCGTGCCCTCGAACTGAAAAAAAATTAACACGGATTTTTCCAATTTTTAATAAAGTTTGTCTTCAGTTTAACTTGCGAATACGATTCTAACCCACTCAATTTCCGACCTTAACTTTCAGAATTTAAATCAATCTTGACGAAATTAATACTTAATCCCCGACTATCTAGAGAATAAGTACTTCCCCGGGGAATAATAGATAGAGTCGTCGTCGTCATCGTATGGAGTTGAATGCAAGAAGTAATTTCCGTAAGTGATGCGGCACAGCGCTAAATGTGGGATACGAGATAAATTTCCACAAGCTTTTCCTATCCAATTCACCTGAAGAGCAGGGGTTCGAGAAGACGCAGTTCCCGACCACAAGTGCCCCATAAGTTCACCCTGGCCATTGAAGAACACGAACGGCCGCAATTGCGAACCCAACAAGGATAACTCGATCCCCGCAGTTGCTGATTCTTCCGCTTCCTCAGGGTCCACCTCTTCGTCTTCGTTGTTGCTGCTGAATGAGCTTAACCCACCGGCAAATACTCCAAGCTGAAATTTTAAAATGTTCGTCACTCATCCTAATTAATAGAAGATTAAATAGATGTTTAGTTTTCGCGAGAAGTCAGAAGGGAAAACGTCTGCCAATTCGCATCCCATTTAATTTTCAAATGTATCCAAACAAGAAAAAATTATTTCAACAAAGAGGGAACACTGAAGAAAATGGACCTGAACAATGTCGGCCTCTGATGAGTAACATCAAGGCTCAAATCATAAAAACCATCACTCTGAAATAACGCATGGATGGACAGGAAAAAGGCTTCAAGGATGACTATACAATATTTTCCTTCAGTATAGATCTTTTTAAAAAAAAATTCAGAACACATGAGCAAGGTCATAAGTGGACGATGAGCAAAATGACGACCTCGCTTGAACTGATCTGATGATTCTTAAACGTGTTTGTTTACCGGCGAACATTTTACTCCGCGTGAATATGCTTGAAAAATGTCGATCTACGATTAAAACCCATCCTTTCACGAAGGATGATAGATCATTGACGTCATGCACCGGAACACATTGAGATAAACAAGAAATTCCTTTAGAGCATCAAGCTTTCATTTGCATGCATTTGAGAATGTTTAGCAGAGGAAATGCGGACTATTTTCATGCGGATTATGCTTCAATCCTTGCTGCTGCAGTAAGACCAGCAATTCGCGAACTATCGCTTTAATGGCTGACATCGAGATCTGATCTCGTCTTCAAAGAGATGAGCTCACTTTGACCTTGTTCTAGATTCCCTGAAGCATTTATTTCGAATTTGATTGAGCCTTTCGCTGTTGAAGAGATGAAAACCTCGCTGGAAATATATATTATTGTTTGATTTCCCATAACATTTGACTCGTATCAATGCACATGGATTCAGGATGCCAATTTGATTTAGAAAATCTTGACCTTGTCTACGAAAATTTCAAAAGCAGCTTTAAAAATTTTTCCGAAGTCGGATGCGCTCTTCTATTTTGCTTACGTTCCATCAAGTACAAGCGAGTTTCTAAAATGACGTTCTTCGATTGAATTCCGGAGATTTCCGCGACGCATTTCAAGAGACACGCTTCGCTTCAAAAAAGAAAAAGAGGTTTTTTGTCTCAATTCGAAAGAATCGCTCTTCCACCAAGAAAAACAAAAGCACCCTTCCACGAGTTTGCATTCTTCAAGGCTACTGCCCAGATAATCAAGTCTGCAGCGGATTAATATTCATGGAACTACATTTTCCTCTGCAACGCACTTCCATTGTGTTAAAGCAAATGTGAGTGATGGGCTTCTTCAAATTGTTCTCACCCGCCCTTAAAACCTATAGCTCAAGTCCGCATTCGAAATCATCTCGGCATCCATTCTTTTATATTCGCAATTCCGTTTTCAAGGCATTCACGAAGCCATTGGCTGAGTCAAAGATGCTAAAAACATGTTTACGCAAAAGCATACGACGAAGGAGCTATGCTAAAAAAGTCTCGGGATTTGTTATTTAAAAATTCAAAACGCAGTTCAAAGAGAAGGAAGTGAACTGCTGCTGAAAGCATTCAAATTGCATGCATTGCCTTTTCTTTTTCGGAATATATTAGCATGACTTGAAAAGTATAGCGACAAGCTGTTCTTCGTGAAATACAAGTATCCAAGATGTGTGGATTCATGAAAAAAAAAATGCCCCGGCTGATTTCAAGCTTCACTCAGCACCCGAGAACGCACCCAACTTTTTTGGTGAGAAATATCCCCATATGTGGAAAAAAAATTCCAAAGAACGCATTTGTTCTCACATGCCAAACATTTTATATCGTTCAGATTATGTTTGGATTTCTACTTCCTCGGTCCAACTCGTTTCGGAGGAAACTTATCAATTTGCTGATTTTTTTTTTGTTGCTATTAGCGAATGAATCATCCTATATTCCCTAGTTAATTAGGTAGTCATAACCTTACCGTAAGCAGTGTAGACAAAGATTTCTCCTCTCCCACGTTGATATCAAACTTGATTCGCTTCAGCATTCCACCACCGAGCTCCATGGCGGCGACGAAAGACCCGTTGCTGCCTTTGGCAAAGTCGTCATAAAGGTACCTTGTAAACGCTGTTGATCGCCCACGTTGACCCCAGACATGATAGTTGCCGTAAGTCTTATTCGACACCAGGGTCTTGAGTTTTTGCCGCAAACCCGCATCCAGCTCTGACAAGTCCCGAATCCGCTCCACAATGTAGGTCTTGAGTTCATGCGATTCCTGGTCTGAGAGGGTCGACAACAAAAAGCCTAGCCGGTCAATCGACGGATCCTTTCGGAGCAAGATGTCGGCGGCGATTGTTCGAACTGAAAGAAAAATACATTTTGAAAAATAAAAAACAAAAAAGTTTAAAGAGGTTTTTTAGCATCAAATATTCAACTTTTAAATCTGGGCGTCAATAATAGCTTCAGCTTCCACCATTTTTTGAAGAAACCCCGAAGCGTGAGGCGGGTAAGCGATCTTTCCGGCGCTCAAAAAAAATCGAAAATTTCTATCTGAACTTGAAACCTTATATTAAACTTAGACGTAGTACAGTAAATTACTTTATGGTGCTGTTAAACACTGAGATGAATGGGCTCTAAAAAACCGAAAGTCCGGGGATGAATATACCTTTCTAGAGAGAACAGTAATCGTTGAAAGTACAGTAGTTCGGACTCAGAACAGTAACAGTAAGGGTGATTTAAATATCCTAAAATGTTATGTCCATTTCGGTTATTTGATCAACGGATTCCAAACGCTATTAATAGAAATTTAGCTAGTCTAATCAAGCATTATTGGTATTTTAAATTGAGTGACTATGTTGCGGTAGTGATTTTTATTTTTGGGTTCTAAAAGTCCCGCCGTTTTCGACACGCGCTTTAATAGGACGCGGCGTTTTGATACGCGCTCGATTATGCGTAGTCCTTTCGAATATATTACCAGTGGAGTCGTGCTTTTTCCTGAGCTGCGCGTAGACTTCTTCAAGCTTGTCCAAATCTTTGGATTTCAAATAAGTCAGAGGTAACGTGTGCAACGCTTTGGCAGCTGCGACGGATACTTTTCGGTCCCCAGTTTCGATGAATCGCAAGAAAATCTTCACGTTTTGCGGAGTTCGCACATTATTTAGTGCGCGGAGGTAAAGAACTGTACAATCCACTTCCTTGCACTTCTCCACCTCCGTATGCAAATACGTCTGAACCCGTTCCACAATCTGGAAAAAGGAAAGATACGTTAATCAATCACAATCACTAATTATCATCTGCGGAATGAGCTTGATTTCAATCGGGCTTTTCAAATAATTTAGTGAACCATAAAATTTTGCGACAGAAGAGAAACCGCAGAACAGTTGGTGTACAAAATAAATCAAAAGTGGATGAAGTGATTATTGTATGCTCTGGAAGGGGTTCCATTTCATCAGAAGTACTTGAATTATTTGTTTTAGAAGCATTTATTTGTTATTTATTATTATCAGAAGCATTTATTAGAAGTATTTATTCCCCATTTCCGATGAAATTCCAGTCAGAAATGTGCTAAAAATCATTAATCTCAATATAACGAATTTTTCGTTATAAAGAATTTTTTCTTGGGTCCATGGGAGTTCGTTGTAACGAGATTTTACTGATTTTACGAGATTAATTTCATAACAGTTTCCGTTAGACCATGCAAATGTTTGGAAGAACCCTTTCTTGATTAGTAAAGGAAGGTGTTTCGAAAGATTACTGTACCTTCTTTTGGCAATTGCCCGCTTCAGCGCAAAACCGGTCAGTTAAAGAAGCCAAACACAGCACGACCGTTTCATGCAGCTTCTCTGACGGGATTTCTCCCTGAGCGTGTCGCAGCATGTCGTCAATAATTTCTTCCGGCGGATGTGGAGTGACAGATAATGCCCACAGGTACCTGCGGAAATATCCGGACCGTGACGTAGCAAACTAGAAATTTCATTTCCGTTCCAGAGAATAAAATCACCTCTCAACGAGTTCTATGTCGCTGTCTTTTCGGAAATTCAGGACATCCATTGCGGCTTTGTGAGCGTGGAGTGTTTGCGCACCCGCCATCACGTCCATCAACACCGGCCTAACAAGAATAAGAGCACGGAGAATCAATAAAAAATACGCAGAAAAAAAGCATGCTACCAGCACACACATACGACCTTGATAACACCGTCAGATCATACGCCTCAGTCAAAGGTCATTCACGCATGAGATGTCGGCACCCGAATCGACAGAAAAAAAAATACAAAAGGGCATTCCCGAAGGTTCGCACTACGGCGATCGCATTTCCTCGTAACGAACTTTTTAGGAAGATTTTTTTTTATATATCAGAGACCCGGTAGAAACTGGACCGAATCCTTTAAAACTTCCCAAAAGTAACGCAGCAAAAATCATTCGAAAAATGTTCATTAGTTTCGGATTTTCTTCCCCACAAATACAGCGACTACTCAGATTTTTTTCCTATAAAAACATTTTTGAGGCGGAGCAGATACAGTACTATCATTTGCTCTGAACAGGGAAAAGACATTTAAAAACTGCTGTAACAATGTCAGAGCCCAGGAATGTAAAAGATTTTAAATTACTGTGCAGTATTTCAAAATAATGACGACATTCCTGGAAAATGTTCGTTCTTCCCTCAATGAAGCTTTATTTTTCGTCGAAGAAAGCGAGCCTCCATTTTGTAGATATACACTTTGACAGCTATTTTTTTTTTTAGAGAAACTCGACTTTATCCATTTTCAAGTTCAGATTCCTCCGAAGTCAAACAAACAAAGAAACAAACAATGCTCGGAGAAAACATGTTTATTCTTCCAGGAAGGTTTTATTTATTCGACAATATAATTTACTGAATTAGAAATCCCCATGTGCCATGCAAATTACTGTACTGTGCATGGCAGCTGAAAACTATTTAATCGTTCATGGATCTAGTCTTGGCACATACTGTACTTCAAAAATTGCTCATGATGCATGAGCCTACAGACGGCATCGATGCTCGGTTATTTTATGGATAATCTGAAACATGTGAAACATACATGACGTCTTTGTTTTTCGAAGCCTTGAGAACTTTGGCAAGAGTTTCCGTTGGCGCTTCCCGGGCCTTGGAAAGGAGTCGCAGGAAAACTGAAGATGACCGAATCGTGCCAGTCATGTTGGTCCGAAGTCCGTCTCGTAACTGGTCAACCAACTGGTCCAGCTAAAATAAATCGTAAAAAATGTTTTCTTACAAGAGAAAGTTCACGACGAATTGAAAAAAAAGTTGCTGTCACGATAAGTTTCGTTGAACGTACACGAACATCAAATTAATAAACAAAATGGATTCGCTGATGAGCGAAATCTAACTGAATTCTCGAGAAAGCTTGCATTTAAAACCTTCATTACGGTATTTGAATCAAACTCCCTCCAAGATCCGATTCATTTCCAGTATTTTGCACCAGGCGGGGAAAGAGATTTTCATAAATCTGATCCCGAAGAAAAACACGTCTAACATGGAATTGTGGCCGACAGTAAAATTGTCGTTCAAAAAAGTCACGTTTGAAATTCGTTGCATGGTTAGGAGTTTTTTTAGCAACGAGGTTTACAACACAGCTGATGACTAAGTTGAACGGAAAAGATGATTGTGAACAGGTCCCAGCAATTTTTTCAAACATCTCCTAGAGACCAACACCGAAAAAAGCTCTCCTGATTTTAAACATTTGTTTTGAATGATTGGCCGAGCAGATCAACATTTTAATTCAGCCCACTATTTTATTATTTCTTGCGGAAATGGAGGGACAAACCATTTGGAGTTTTAGTCATTTTTCCTTGATTTTGCGACGTGATGATCAAACCAAACTTTCAAGTTCGACTAAAAGAACATGCCCAAATATAATTGCACGTGAAATTTTCTCTTAATTTATATATCAGTCATTTGCCATAGAGTAGTGTCTTGCTGAGTGGATAATACTGTACTTACTGTAAGACAGTTTTCAGAGCAATACTTGACTTCCTCTTCAACACTCAGCCTATCGGACACCAATTTCTGGCCGAGCCGACGAGCCAACACGATAATGGCATCATCCAAGCTCACTGTATCAACAGCATCGGAATTAGTGGACGACCCTGTAAGGAAAGAAACGTGTCATTACTGGGTGTCAATGAAAAAGAGTTCCAAGCCCAGCTGAGCGGGAGATGAAAATAAAACCAACTGATCTACTTGGTCGGGAAGCAGTTGAAATCCCCATTTCTACCAGTAAATCAGCAGTTTTAACACGCTGGCATTTTTCCGAGTGCGTCAATGACGAAATCTTTTCTATGACTGGAATATTTTAAGAGCCCTTCCTTTTTTGAGCCGCAAAAAAATCCCTAGATCAATGAATTACGGCAGCTGCCACTTGGAAATGTCAGGAAATTTACGAAAGGTGAAATTATGTAATCCAGAACTCAGAGGAAGTCTTGCACAGGGAAACCAAGGGGCACTAGGGTTTCCCTGTCGCTTAATTCAGACAGGCACGTCGTCCCGGGCGTTTTCGGATGACATCCAGGGTCGGGTTTATCTCTGTACCTGTCAGTTTCAGGTGCTGGTCAGACACAACCCGTCCGGCTGCAACTTTCCAGGCATGAACTTGCAATGAGTGCTTCTCTTGCGCCTTCACCTCTTCCACGATAGACTCCTCACGCGTGAATGAGTAGAAAGCTTCGCTGTCGCTCACTACATCGGCTGACAAGGCCTGCAACAACGTCAGAGCATCAAAGGAATTGCAATCCCTGCCCTGGTATCCCACAGAGACCTTCAGTCGGGTTTCAGTTTTGTGAAATACAGCACAAACATCCCCAGGGAAAACGAATTATGCAAGCAGAAATTTCACAGACCTAGTATTATTCAATGTTCAAAATGAACCCCCACTTCTGGTGCTTTTCGCATTTTCGCTAAGTAAATTGAGCCCGTATTAAACAGGAAACTACGGTACTGCGGAATATTTATAATGATTATATATATCGAACAGAGATCAGTTTGGTCCATTTGAAAATATTGTTCACGTTATCTTCCCAACGAAATGAAAACCAGAGAAAAGTGCATCACTTTTGCACTTATTTATCTTCGTCTGCTACATGAATTATTTCTGTTTCGCTGTTTTCTCATTAATTTCAATGAGATCTGAATTTTCGCGGTTGCCTAAAAACGACAAGCACATCATCTGCAGTGATGTTCCACTGCGTAGGAAATTATGGAAATTGGATCAGTTGCAACAATTATTACGCTTTTTTTGAATCGATGCAGATTTAGACATTGAAGGTCCTTGCAGTTACTTTCTGAATACAGTATTCAAAAGCCAACAGATGTCGACAAACTTGAATAAATGTCTGCTGTATTTAGATGCCGATTATACAGGGTGCCCAGCCTTTTCTGTGCGCAAGGAAAATTTCAATATTTTCGTTCATTTCAAATCTTTAGTGAAACGCAAGCGAAACTACCTCCAGGTTGGTAGAACAGTAAATATCTTTGTCAAGAAGGTTCTCAAAGATTGCTCGAAGCCGAAAATTCGCGAAGAATTAGCCCTTGAATCAAAAGAAGAAAAAAACTGGAATCCTGTCAATCGTTGTATGCTACAATAAAATTATTCATACGATGGGGATTTTCGGAGAGGTAGAGATGTAGATGACTCAGCGTAAAATTTACCTCATATCTTGACTGCTGGTGACATGTAGTCACACAGGAAAAATTAATAATTGCAACTAAAAAGGAGAAAGACGTCTGAATGACAAACTTCTGGCTACAGTATTGGGTACATTTTTTGAAGGCTCTGAAATACAAAGAAACAGCTGAAGCAACAGCGCGGAGCTGATGAATTTAGCTAAGCAAAAAACTCATTTGTTACAAATGTCAAAAAACCAACTCCACGAAGCTGGTGAAGTCAGTCAAGGACGGATCTAACTCCATATTATTCGATTACTCGTGCAGCGATTTTCCCTTTTCACGCAGTCTTATCTTTTCTGTTCCCTGTCGTACACACGTTACGGCGAAATAATATATGCAGAGTCATTGTGACCCTGCGCAAAGGCTTTCGTCGCGATCACTTCAGAAGCACCATCATGGAGGAAGTGCAAGCCCGTTGCAAAGGTCGTAATGAGTCGAAATCCGTGTGCCGACACTCGAAAGCCTTGATTACACTGTACTGTATACTGTATCTGGTATTATAGATATTAATACTCGTATGGCAAACACGGGGCTAATCTGTGGATCGTCTCGGTGCGTCAGAGGAAGGAAGGGAAACAGAGTTGAGCAAAGCCCGGGATTCTCGCGAAGCAGATACTGAAACCTACAAGACATTCCAATCTCGGCGTGACTCGGCAATGCGGGTTAATCAGATGCGCCAAGCAGACACGGGCATCGATCTTCATCCCCACACCGCGTAACAATCGGATCGGTCTTCCTTGTCAAAAAGAGCCATTGTTACGTGGAATTATGCGGGCAGTTTCTTCACGGAATTTCCCCCGGAAGAAAGACCGGAAGCGCGACTCAGACGATGAGCACCTAAACGACTCGGGCTAAACGCGCCGGATTTTTTTTGTGTGGTGTGGTGAAAATTCAGTGAGCATGTAAATAAGCGGAGTCACTACATGCCGGGTGGAAATCCTCATGAACAACGCTAAATTTTATTTTGCCTCATAATTTATTTATCTTTTGTTTCATCCATACAACGATTAATTTCTGGTCATTCACTTGGCAAACCCGATAAAAACGGTACTGTATTTACGGGTAAACCAAGGTTAATCCTTTTTTATGAGCAAATTCGCAAAAATCCCCACGAACCAGAAATAATGCACGTTTTTCTAAAGGTATTCGAGGAGCAAAGTACACGAGCAGTAGTCACCGGAATGCCACTTGCCTTTGTACAAAACCTCCAAAATAATTATGTAGATTTTTTTTTTGATAGTTTTCTATCAAACATCATCTAATTTGTACTCGTGCGTGAGTACAAGTGAGTAGTAGCACGGTTATGAAGATACAGTGGGCCCCGAGATGCGGACGTAATTGTTTCTTGATCCTTGTGTCTATGTCGAAATGTCCGCATGTCGGACCACCTTTTCCCATAGTCTTTATCGGGAACCTACTGAGTTAGTTCTGATCATCAAAAATGGGCCGAAGTCCCCCTATTGAATAAAAATTGAAATTGAATAAATTTTTTCTCCACTTTAATGTACAGTAAATGCCTGTGCAGAAGAAAACCACACAAAATCTGATCTTTTGGCATGAGAAGAACCCAAAAAGCGAAGAAGAAGCACAGAATTGGTCTTTTATTTTTTATGAATTACAGTAAATTTATAATGAAATTTATTTTAAAATGTTTTCGAATTATAAATATTGCAGCTCAACTCGTTCAAGATGTAACTTTGTAAAAATAACGTTTTGATAAAATAACCTTGTTTTTAGAAATTTTCGGAAAATTTCCATATCTCGAGACATTGTCCGGATGTTGGGCAGACGTCTTTAGCTTCCAGTGTTCCCTAATGGGTATCGTCCATATGTCGGGGCCCCACTGTATTAGTAGGTACAGCGGAAATGATCGACTGGGGCTCTCGATAGATGAATTGAAAACTCACCAAATTATGAGGCAGCTATTTTTCGCAGCAACTTATTGAAATTATACTGTACTCGAAAATTCTGGAAAAAATATGTTTTTCAAAGCTTACCGGCACTGGGTGGGAAATTATGTTCGAGCTCCTTGGTACTCGACAGTCGCGTTTCTTCTTCACAATCACGCGCTCCGACGTCGCATCGCCCAAATAAGTTACTTGGCATCGTCCTGAAGCATCCACTTCTTCCACCGTCTTTGCTGTCAATTCGTACTGCGAAAATACGTCAGCATAAATTAAAATCTGTTTTCTTTGTCAGTTCCCAGCAATTCACAGGAGAGCCGCGCTGAAATCAACGCCGAACAATTAAAATGGCTCGAAATAGATGCGCAATGAGACTCGGCATTCAATTCTGTTTTCCGCGGCTGCTGAAGAGATCAGGTCACACTTTTGTGTACCTCTAATGACTTGTAATCAGGTTTGACTGAGGTAGAAGTACTCAAGAAAACTTCGTTTTGAAGAATTCATTTTTTTGCGGTTTAAAATGAATACGATGGTGTTCAGTGAGCGGAAAGCAGGGCCTCTTTTAATCAACTGTCGGCACGTTTTTCAAGTACCCACAGACAGATGTGAACAGCAGATGCGGCGAATGAACTGGGTCACCTTTTCATGGGATAAATTAGGCTCGCCGTAATTTTCTAGAGCGTTTAGACACGTTACTCATTTTATTCGACGTTAATTTCGGAGATGCGCGCAATCTGTTTGATACATTCTGCGGCCATTAGACGAATTAAGAAAGCATGCCTAAAAAATAACATTGTATCGTTATGTGTCAATTTATTTTCAGCTACAGTGTTTCATTTTTTTCCTCGGGCTATTTAACGCTTCAATACAACACGTACCTCTCAACAAGAAGGCCTTCAATTGATTTTTATTTAAAAATACAAGCAGCATACTGTATAACTAAAGTGGGTTTTCACTTTCTTGAGCGTTTACAGAATTTCGCACCATGTCCTCCCATGCTCTCAATTTTTTTTCTTTCCAACTCTGACATCGAACAATTTTTCCATCAGTATCTCAACCTACTATCGTCTGATTGAAAAATACATTGTACGGGGTGAAATGAGAAATTCGACGTTTTTGTCAGATTTTCAAATTCAAAATTATAAACTTGACGAAAACCGAGGATACCGAGAGTCTGAACATATGGTAACCGTGAATTATTTTATTTGTCAGAAAAAAATTGATCTCAATATCTACAGCTTATTTAAAGGTAAATCTTTATTCATGTGCATCACCATTAAAATATTCTGCTTCGATATTAATCAGGCATTACTTCTCGGTCGAATTTAAATTGCAGAAAGCCTGTCAGAGAATTGCTGCTACTTTACTTATAGCTCCTGAGAACTGCATCAATTGTTCGAATTGGTCCAGGGAAAACTTGGGCTAGCTTCTGTCGGAAGTTCCGGACCATGCTCTTGGAATATTTTACAAAACTCTGTCGAACTTGCACTCTTCGGAGAATCTAAAGTTGGGATAGAGCTGGCTGATTTTCCAAGAAAACCCCCTCAGGAAATCATTGATGGAACTTCGATTAATCAGCGGTGCATCATCGCGGTTCTTGAGGCGGCGAGAGTGGGACTTGCGGCGTCGGCGTTTCCGCCGCCACTCCGCGAGACAACCGTGCGACACTGCGGCGGCGAATTCACCGCAATTGTCCTGAATTTCAAAACGCGTGGGGAAACGCGAAATAAGGGCCATTTCCGCATGAAAGCCAGAGCCAAGTACTCGCGGTGAATGATGCTTTCGCGTGAACTCGCTGTGGGCACATGCTGGTGCACGGCGAAAACCATTCAGAAAGTTCATTCTTCCGGAACCAACACTTTCGGGTTGCCTCGGTTTACTTGGAAGTATTTTATGCGGATATGAGATGCTATGAATGCTGAAACGCCTTTGCTTTTTCATGCCGAAGAAAAGTTGCGCGATGAAATCCCGGGACTTTGACTAGCATACGTTTATTTCAAGCATGCGTGCACATATGAGACATCATAAATTCTAAGATGCTTCTTAATGTTTTAGTCATTCGAAAGAGAAGAACAGTTCACTGGCGAAACTGAGACATACGCAGTTCACAGTTTCTGCTTACCATATTTTGCTGTAACATGTTCAAGGGACATCGAAGATCAAAAAGGTTCATTCGAAATTATTAAGCCCCTTGAATTGAAAAATAAGTTTAGCGCGTGAATCCCAGTCACTGGGACAGACTTTCCAGTTTATAGTGGTTTACTCGAAGAATTTATGTGGATAAAAGACGCTATCGATTCCAAGCCGATTGATTTTCAGTCCCTTGAAACAGTTTACACTTTAAAGCGTATGCAATTTTGCTCGCGAAATTAGAAGATATATCTTTCACCTGGAAACATGCTAAAAAATCTAACGCAAAGGATGGACTAAGAATGCGCACTAATTTTTAAAGTTGAAAAATACTGCACATCCTCGAATATGGCAACGCCGAACTAAAAACTACGCCTAATTTTATTTTATTTTCTGATGTTAAATTAACATCGCAAGCAATATCATGGGGCACTTGGAATAACCAAAATCGAAATTGCTAGTCCCTTCTTCAAATTTGAGATTAAGTCGTCAATTTACGATTTGAATGAACATACGGTAATGCTTTAAATGTACTGTATTACGATCGATCTCATATGTTATTCAAGAAGTTGATGCGATTTTAATCATTGGCTACAGGATGATTTTCGTCCATCCCATTAACTATTACAGATATTCTGCATCCTATATTTAAGTGGTCCCATATTTCGAGATACCGAGATTATCTCTGATTTTATTCGCATATCAAAATCATTTACGGAACGTTTGCATGAATGCAGTGCGGAAAATGACATTAATTTACAAACGTGCGTCTTGAAGAGCTTCAAAAGCCATATTTGCTCCCAGAATTTTATCACATTCCAGCTAGCAGGGTATTCCGAAAATATCAGTTCACCAGAGAAAATTCCAGACTTCGGATGCAATTGATTTTCACTTTTTCAGTACCTTGAAACAGTTCAAAGCGTAGAAAATGTTTCTGGCGAATTTAGACGATGTTTCTTTTGCCTGGAAACATGCTAAAAAAAACATTAACTACGCCATTGGTTCCATGACTCCAACTTTCACTTAATTTACAAGCCATGAATCATTTGAACAATGCATATTCAATTCACCATTGCATTATACTTAATCTCAGAATCATGTATTTTTTATTGATCATTCAGTACATCCACCCAATCCTTCCCTCAGTTGCTTTTAACTTGAATCGCGAATAAATATTGGAAGTCCGTGTTCAAAACTCTTCCTCCGAAAATTCCACGTACCATCGGTAGTACCAGATGTCAACAGAAATGCCAAGCTGGCATAAATAATGGAGTTGAGATTAAAGACAGACAGGAACAAGGTCTGTTTTAGCTCAATAAAACTCATGCGACTCATATCAGCGAAGCGAGACGTGCGTCTCAGCAAAAAAAGCAAATGAAAAATTCGAGTTCGTTCGCGGAAAGAAGAAAAGTTTACGGAAAGTCCAACGAAAATCTCGTACCTGGAACAGACTGGCGATGCCTTTCTTGATATTCACCAGCGACGGCGTGTCGGTCTGGACATAGAAAACGCTGGAGATCTTGCCGTGGGACCACAGGACGTACAAAGGATGCAGGGACAGGGACGACAGCTGGGAGGCGTGGAAAATGAACCCGTCAGGCGTGGGTGCTTTCCGGGATCTCACGAACAACTGCGGCGTGTCGAGCTGCCGACAGATGAGCCAAGTTTCATTCACAGGCCATTTTCCTCCCCGTATCTCGCATGAGTTCTTACAGATGTTCAAAGCGATGCACATTATGCGTACATGAGCAAGTGGGATAATAAAATACGGGATGCAGTTATATGCTAGAAAGTGTGTCTTCCCACAGTCTCCATCAACCCGGGAATAAACTCCACTAAAGCTTTCTAGCCTCTTCAGAAACTACAGGAAAAATGACTACCTCGTTCTGAATTGCATGAAACCTCGAGTCGAATCTTTCTCTGCACCTGAGTGTTTCACGTGCATTTTTCAACACACCGTAATTGCTCCAATGTGCGATGTCATCAAATATCAAACTCATCTCAATGTTCCAGCCGGTCGAACATGAAGCTGGTAAATTTAAGCTCAGTGCGACTTTTAAAAAACGAAGAAGAAATCAAGTGTCCAATAAATGCGTCAACTTTTTTTTAATACGGCCTGAAGCACAAAATTGTAAAGGTGAACAAGAAATTAAGCCTCTTGCAAGGCTCCGAATTGAAAGTGCGAACATGATAACACCTTGAAGTCGGAAGAAACCTATTGACAGATTTTTCCGCAACTTTGCAGCATTAGCTTTTCGGAAACTCCACGGGACTTGAAAGTTGATCAATTTATGAGGCAGAATGTTTGATTATCCCATGAAATAGCATATGCTTGTGAATCCAAGGAAAAAAATGTTAACGCACCAAGATTTTTCTTTTCAGAAAAAAAAAACGTGAGCCTGGTATTTTCGTACATGAGATAATTCTAAGGCTTTGGATATTTAATATCGCAACGTTGTGCGGATCACAGTAAGCCGAATATGACACGCTTCCACCCGAGTGACGCAATTTCTTCAAGAAGCATACGTAGCTCAGGCCAACGAATGCTTTCCAGTTCAACGTAATTTGGCTTCGAGTCGCAAAGAGGGAGATTCATCAAGTAATGTGTCCTTTTTTCTGAAGCAGGTAGGTGATTAATTACCACAGGGTAATCCTGGACAAGGTGAGCTTCCCGTGGATCTCGTTTACATATTATTCCGGGATTCGCGTCACAAGCGGGCACCGAATCGCGTCGCCGCTTTTGGTGTCCACCGGGTCGACGACCCGTACCACACATCACCAGGTGTTCTTCGTATTTTACCACCTGAGCCAAATGAAGCCTCAAGTTCACTCATACATGACGAATTGCATCGCTACGAACAAGGCTTATCATAGAGGTTCGTAATATGAATTGAGGGTTACTGTTAAAGTTGGCGAGGGTCGGTCTTTTATAATTTATCTTTGAGACCCAAAATACTGGGATTGACGAAGGGAAATAAAGTAAAGTTGCAACTGCTCTACCAACGCTTCTAAAATGAATATGTGAAGGAAGGACTTGAATTGGAGTTGCATTAAAATACATCGCTCCAAAATATCACCCCTAACGAGAGGATCACTGAATCAATGAATTTTTCACTGCTCAGGTCCATCTGGAATCCAAAGTTCTTCATTTTCTCGCAGAATAAAATAGTATCACGAAGAGTTAAATCCTGGTCTCTAAACATGTTACAGTACTGAACCATGGTAGTCAGAATGAAGGTTACCCGTATTTACTCAAACAAACGCGCACTTACATTTTTAAACTCAAAAGTCAAATCAGAATTTTCTGAATTTAAGGGGCTCTCCGATCAGAATCACTTTCTTCAGAATCAGAGGAATCATAATCGAGGATCTAAAAAATAGAACAAGAAGCAAGAATTCCGAATCAAAATTTTTGGAACTTCGGACTAAAAAATAACCGGAAACCAACGTTCGAAATTTAATGGAGTTCATCAAAGGAAATTGTGCCTTTCGCCATCGAGTCCAGAAAGCCATCGAATATGAAACGTAATCGCAACAAGCGCCCTTATTTTTTAAAGCTCAATTTTTGAAAAAAACCATCGTCAATATGCAATTTAAAGAGTGACAGGATGAATAAATCAGCGAGAGAATAACTCATTAAAAATCCGTCAGACGTTCGAAAACAACACTGAAAATAAAACGCTGAAAAACACGTCTTAATTATTCGCACTCCTGCTTCTGCTCGAATGGGTAGCTATTCATCCAAGAAAATTTATGCATGATTGCGAAAACATGTATTCTGCGCAGTAAAAAATTAAATTTTTTAAGCAATAGTGATCCAGAAATCACACGGAGAATAAGATAATCATGCACTCGGAACTTAAATTCTCAACTTTTCGCGAAAAACTGTCATGTGTCATATGCAAACTATTCTTATGGCAAACGTCGGTCGCGAAACAAGATTAGGAATAGGTAGTACTGTATAAAAATAGCGAAAATTTTCGAGTGACAAATTGATGAAAATCTTGCCTCAGGTCAACAAATGGAAAAGGCGTAGCTAAATTGATCCCACTTGGAAAAATGTACATGTACTTGAGAAAAATCTCAGGAGGAAATCTTTTTCAGAAATACCCCATTGTAGCCTTACATTTCATCACGAGGCTTTCTCATCAACTCGCCTCAAAAAACCCGTCACAAAACCCTGCTTGAAATCTTCCGCAAGCAGATTCTAAAGGGTTACATTCTAAATTTAAAATTTTTAGACGTCCTTCAAAACAAACTTTTCTTGATGAGCAAGTACGTACAGTACGACGTAGTGAGTGAGAAAGAGGGCTCATGGATCAGATTATTTTTCAGTATTCCTCCCTGTCTGCGTGTTTCTCGGTGCAGAAAGTCGACTTCTTTGTCGGCGCCAAACTTGCGGCGGTTACTATTGTACTTTTTTTTTTCTTTCACGTCCTGCAATGAAATGAATGGAGTCTAAATTTTATCGTAAAAGCAGTAACGAAAGCCGTTGTTTTCGCTTGCCAACTGTCGCCCGTTGGCGATTATTCAAATCCAAAAAATCATGGAAATCGCGCGTGTCCGGCAGGCTGCACATAGCGGACCGGTAACGACGCGTCTGTCGTCGTTAGTTCCTGGCCCATGCTCACAGGAATCAGATCTTGCATTCGCCAGCAATGGGTGCCCAAATTGCACCAGCCATTACTTACGCACTGCGGATTCTCCGCCGTACATAGAAACATTACTCTGGGGGAAAGCCCGACAGCCAGAGCAACAGCACGCACACATGGGCAACAGCGAGCATGGAAACATCAACCAGGACGCGGGTTACGACCTTCATTTGTCTCTGGCTGAGCTGGCGGATTTCATTCTCGACTTGTTCGATGGAAAAGTGAGCAGCGATCAGTTTTCGGAAAAAGGCGGATGACATCGTTACTGAATTTACGGGTAACGGCGGAAATTCTCTTGCCTGCCTCATTAGCGAACTTTTCAGCATGTTTGCCGCCCGTATTGCGAGCAATGGGTGATGGAATCGAGTTTTCCTGGTTATTTTGAAGGACATAGTTCACAAACTGCCGCTAGTAAGCTCGCAATTCTGCTCACTACGACGGACAAGTTTTGTTCATGCACTCTGAAGAAACTTTTCGAGGCTACTTGACCCATTCGAAGGACATCGAACCAACGACGACCTTCCCGGCGCGAAAAATTGGTTAAATTTGTAAACTTCTTCGCCATGTCAATCAATTATTACTTCAAAAAGCCAATTCGAACAGGAGAAAATGGAAAAATATGCTTGATTTATAAGAATTATCCAGGAAAAACACTTGAATGTATTTTGCATCGACCGTGGGCATCGTGACATTGTTCAGGCCTGAGACCGAGGAGATATGCAGTCTAAATTTTGAACAATTGATTAAAACATCTGGTTTTGAAATCTGCATGACACGTCAATGTTTTCCACAATTTCAGAATCCAAATAATGCTGCTCCCTTTACACTAGAATAGCAATGGCAATCGTTCTGTAATATAATTTCACAAGGAAATACAGCAAACTAATTGCTTCAAAAAGTAGGTTTCTTGTATGAGGTATCCCTAGAAAAGAATATCTAATTCCGAACCAACATTTTTGTAACTTCGGACTAAAAATAACCGGAAACCAACGTTCGAAATTTAATGGAGTTCATCAGAGGAAATCGTGCCTTTCGCCAATTGAGTCCAGAAAGCCATCGAATATGAAACGTAATCGCAACAAGCGCCCTTATTTTTTAAAGCTAAATTTTGGAAAAAAAAACCATCGTCAATATGCAATTTAAAGAGTGACAGGATGAATAAATCAGCGAGAGAATAACTCATTAAAAATCTGTCAGACGTTCGAAAACAACGCTGAAAATAAAACGTTGAAAAACACGTCTTAATTATTCGCACTCCTGCTTCTGCTCGAATGGGTAGCTCTTCATCCGAGAAAATTTATGCATGATTGCGAAAACATGTATTCTGCGCAGTAAAATATTAAATTTTTTAAGCAATAGGGATCAAGAAATCACACAGAGAATGAAATAAGCATGCACTCGGAACTGAAATTCTCAACTTTTCGCGAAAAACTGTCATGTGTCATATGCAAACTATACCTATGGCAACCGTCGGTCGCGAAACAAGATTAGGAATAGGTACTATTGTATAAAAATAGCGAAAATTGTCGAGTGATAAATTTATGAAAATCTTGCATCAGGTCAACAAATGGAAAAAGCGTAGCTAAATTGATCCAAAAAAATTAGGCAAAATTAAATTGCGGATGTACATGAAGCACGAACTCAAATCCTCTGAACTCTAATCACTTTTTCAAACACACAGTACTGTATTCGTTCATTGTGTGAGGAACCACTTGACAGAGATGGGTAATCTATAAAAATTTGCCATGAAGAGAATGCGTATCAAGCAAGAAATGCGTTGCCACGACATCCGGTATTGCCCTGTACAGCATTATGGCTCTTGTATGAAGCACCACCGCGTCGCGGCGAGATAAAAAAAAAAAAAAAAAAAATACTAAACTTGGGTATCCACTCACCGAGATCTGAAGGAGCCTTTGGGTTGGGCTCTGCCAAACAGCCTGGACAGTGACATATCCCGTGATTTGGTAGCCCACGTTTTTCGACGGACTGATCCCAGGGCGAATGGGCTCGTCCAGGATGACTGTGGTGAAGTACTCGTAGGTGTAGGTCTGACCGACCTCGTACTGCCGCGCCGACGCTGAGTGAGACAAGAGGATGAAGGCGTGACAAAGCAGCGGCGAGAAGAGCCCGACGGCGGCAAGAACCAGCACCCGCGATGGCGCTCCGTCGGGTGCCACTGACATGGCTGTGCGTCAAGTCCGACTACGAAAAAGCACCCGCATCTACGCAAAAACAAATCAAACGAGCAAACGATCCCTACTAATCTAGTTCACGCCAGCTTCCCTGCCACTGGGTCAACATTGCTCAGCGCGGGCGAGTCTACGCCTAAGGAAGCACACGACGCCACTGCGGATCTCGCGACCCGTACCGCACTGGTTCCGCGCCCGCGTACATTCCGCTGCCAGTTTGGCTCTGGAAATTTCCACTTCCTCTGCACCAAATCCGACAGAATGCGTCATTTTCATCCCGCATGTACAAAACGAAAACGTCATCCAGCTCTTTGGCCGATCAAGCCCACTTCGCTGCTCACGATGAACTACAACGCGTCCATCAAATCGTTATGCGGGACACTTTTTGGGGGGTATTCAAAAACGATGCGACCCAGAACAGCGCGAGTCCACAAAAGCAAACGCGAACATCGACAGCAAAAGAAAACTTCTCCATTGTTGATTTTAAAAAACGTAAAAACTAAACCTAATTAAGATAACGTTGTTGTAGAGGAGCTGCTCATGCTTTGATTTCAAGTTTTTTGGCACTATAAATTGTCAAGAAAAATGAATCGTTGGACAGGGCATACGATTCTATCCAAGATTTGATACAGATGAAATTTACCCATATCTTGAGCTTATATTTACAGAGAGAAAAAAATCAAAAATATTACCTGGAGCAACGTGATTGCATCAACACCTGGCTTATTGACAACGTTTTTCCTCCGACTGCTTTTTCATACTTCTGCGTTATTGTTTTGGCATGCGCTGGTCACATGTATCTCATTTAAAACAGTACACTTTAGTCCCTCAAAAATGTATTACTTGTGGCTGCAAGTATAAGTATGAACTATGCCTATACTTCGATCGTGAAAAAAATTATTGCAGGTGTGGTTTTTGAATTGGCACGGGAAAATACCGCCATTTTCTCGAATGACATCATGGCGTTACTTAGAGTGCGGAAGAGCAACAACGCAAATTTCAGCATAGCTTTCCGCAGAAAAACTCGGAAAATTGCCGAATTCAAGCAGGCTCTGTTGATTCACGATTTAAAATTTCAAACGACGGGTTCGAGAACACCGAGAAGACTAGCTGGAAGAACAGAGTAAGATACTCAGCGCATGGACTGAGTTCATAATTCATGCTTGGTTGCTCGGATGATGCGTTTCCGACCGTTGAACAAAAGCCCGGGTTCCTTCCGGGCAGAAGGTTTCCTCGAAGACAAAGGCAAGAAGAATCGTCTTTGGGTATGCAAGGAAAAACAGAGTATTCACCACGGGCCTCATAGTCAACGATCACGAATGGGGTGTTAACATCATTATGCAGTTCTGAACTTACAGAGAGTGACGCACGCATTCCAGGACGTTTCTTCTCCTTCCTGCTCACGGAATTTTAAGGCAAGAAAGAAAAAAAAAGCCGTTTCAATGGCACATTGAACTTTTAGATGGGACTGGCACAAACGAAACGGTTCGCTTCTTACACTATTTTCCGATCAATGCTCGTTCCTATTCTTCTTGCTCTGTCACCAGAAAATCCGCACAGAGAGGAAATTCTTCTCAGGATGTGCTGAGCACAGGGCTTGTATGCGTATGTAACTTGGCATGGTGCCTCATACCTAGTCATTTTGTGGGATTACAATAATAATCTTTCAAAAAAATCGTTAAACCCTCGCAGCTTGCAGGGTCGAAGACTGTGGCCGCATCATTTTTCACCGCACACTCACTGAAATCATGCTGCGGTTTTATTTTTGCTACATTTTTCTCAGATGAAACGGTTTTGAGCCTCACATTGAACACTGTTAAGTGTGCTATCCAAGAAATGACTGCAGCCGAACATGTGCGATGCTATGAAAGGATTCGTTTTGATATTGCATAGGAAGTTTCATAACTCAGGTTCCAGGCTCACGTTTCCAGAATTTACTTTGAGAGAACCGCAATATCAACAGCATTTTCTCGAATTTTTACTTTCAAATACAGTACAATTTTACAGCTTTGAACAATATTGGAAACTCTACGCAGCAGTTGCAGGAATTAACTCCTGCAATTTCAACGCATTTAGAAAAATTACATTCACTGCAGGTTGGCAAAATTCAAAGGGCGATTAATTGGTGTCATTTAACTAAGCTTTTCATATACTGTATAGTACTGTATGCATATATACACATAAATAATTTCTTCATAATAAATATTTTCACTGCAGGTTGGCAAAATTCAAAGGGCGATTAATTGGTGTCATTTAACTAAGCTTTTCATATATACTGTATAGTACTGTATGCATATACAGTATACACATAAAGAATTTCTTCATAATAAATATATTTCAAGAGAATTAATACGGCGACTGAACACAGGTTTTATGAGGGAAGGTTTTTGACTTTTCAACTGCAACCTAATGCAAAATGAGCAAAAGGCAGCTCCTGCTAGATTTATTTTTACACAAGGATGTCCTCCTCCACCAAAGCTTGAAAAATGTTTGCGGATTGAACCAATTTCAAATTTAGCATCACTTTTTGGGTGTTTTGCCTGACTAGATACAACTTCTGCAGGTTCTTCTCCTCTCTTCAGACTTCCCAAAACGTGAACAATTTTATTAACTTACGGTGAACACTCAGAGTTTGAGTTACAAAGATACATATAAGCTCACTACTACAGTTGGATTCCTTAAAATTAACTTCAAGGGATGACAAGAAACAAATTCATTGTAGCAAAAATTTTGCTGCAGAGAACCTCTACAACATGGAGAGATAATCCTGTGGCACCACCAAAAAATCATATTACAGATAAAATAAATGCAGAGAAGATCTTTGTAGAGTACATCTCTAATATGTTATACACCATCAATAAGTTTCACAAACAATGCTTTTCTTTCCAATCCATCAACTTATGCAAAATCTGCATATTTTGCATAAGTTTTTGCATGGTGCAAAATCCGCACAATATTATATTGGTTATCAGCATTTGTTGTTGCATGGTTGTTTTTGCATGGTGTGACTAAACAAGTGCAAAGCCATGGAATGCAACAATTAACAAGAGTGAATAATTCTGAGAAAAAATTAAGATTCCAGACAATTTTTTCTCAATATTTTTAGATGAGTGTGATTTGCAGGTTTAAAAGTTATTCTAAGTGGGTTACGATCACAGGAAAAAATCTTTAAAAATTGGAGTTGCTTTGAGCATAACCTCTGTAGAGACCATATGTATTGCTGTTTAAGACCTTTGGATTAAGATGTGGATATTGAAGGTTTGAAAGATTGCTACTAAGGGGGTTATGTCTGCTTTGAGCAAAACCCCTTAGAATTTTTAAAATTCTATCTAAGAGGTTATGCTCAAAGCAGACACATTTTCAATGAATTTTAGCTTTGAGCATAACCCCCTCAGATGCATTGTTAAAAAATGTGTGGATTGATGTTTTAAGCCTGTGGATTTATGTTATAAACCTCTGCTGGATTAAAATTAAAATTGCAGGAGTTATGCTCAGAGCAAAATCCATTTTCAATTAATTTTTGCTGTGTGCATAAACCCCTAAAAGCAAAATTTTTGAAACCTGCAATCTACCCTCCCTACAAATTTCAATTAAGACCTAATTTTAAAACTGTTTGTACTCAGCAAAACCCTCTTAGAATAAATGTTTTAATGCATTCCAAATTGCAATTTTCATTTGAAAAGGAAACTGAGGTGAAAACCCATTGTCAAAAAACAGTTTTCATCTCAAAATGTTTTTAAAAATTTTGTTCATAGGTTCAATTCAGTATATGTAAGACGGTTATGCTCAAGGAGTACTCAAAAATTGGTTTGATAAAAAATTAAATTTTTGGAATTTTTAGAACATTTTGGAACAAATTAAATGATTTGCCATAGAGGTCTGTGGGAAATTATGGTTTGTAGTAAGAAAAATCATGCTATGAATGTTTTCCGGAAAAAAATTATGTTCCTAGTATGAGGTACCACGTATTTTTAGTTTGATAAATGAATCATTTGGGCGTGAGACGTGAAGTTCTGCCGACTGGACTCAATTTTATTGCATATAGTGGAAGAATTCGACCCACAAAACCGGGGAAACCCTTACACATTAGGGAGGTGATAAGCGAAAATTTTCCAATGCAATACTGTACTTGGAATGGTATTGATTCTCGCAATGATTGAAAAGGTCCACATCATTGAAAGACCCCTGGTACATGTGATTTTTTTTAAAGTAAATATTCAAAACTTTGAGCAGAGTACAGAACAATAATCCAGAAAAGTCTTCGGCTAGTACACAGTTTCACTTCGGATCTCCATCTTTCCTTATTCAGATCTACGAAGATTAAGACATCATGGATATGCTGATACTGTATTGCATTTCCAGCATGCTCTTCTGCTTGAAAAGCATTGGTAGTATTTCTAGCAAGAAACTTCCAATACTAGTGAAGTAATGCACCATGCACCACTGACGCGCAGGTTACGAAAAGCTTAAAAAAATATAAAAAAAGGTCTAGCTATGTAAGATAAAACGTTGCTCAGAGCTTCAAGTCTGTAAACAAGAAAAAGGCACTGCCGAGAAGGGATAAGCTGTAACATCAAAACAACTTCTTGATAGTTATACACGTAATTTCTCTATCACAAATAATTTTGATTCACATCACTGAGACCTAATGCCGGAACCCGAACGATTCATCCCCCACTAGGCTTGTGAATGCCGAATTTCAACAGCTTGTAGATTATTTATTTTCCCGTTCACTTTCCAGAGCTAATGCATAAGGAATAAAGACTTGGGAGAAAATGGGGAACATATTGAAAGAACCTCCACAGCGTTGCATCTTGATAATTTTTGAACTTGAATCAAATCTCCGAGTGTACTCGCAAGTGGCGACAGAACAAAGTTACGAACAGTGTCAGATTATCTAAGCAATACATTTGAGCGCTGAAAGGAGAGGACATTCGAATTTTCATTGACTGTTGAACATAGTAAGACCATCACTGCGGTCAGTCAGGAAGAATTATTTTCACAGCTTGAATTATTCAAAAATACACGCAAATATACTCGAAAATGACAAGAGACCACGGACAAAATGCGCAGTCAATGATGAAAGAAAAACTAACCCTTTTTCTCTATTTTTTAAGAGCTAAGAAAATAAGGGAACAATTTCGCAGAATATCTTCCCGATTGGGTATCACAGACCTTTCTTAACTAGAAAGACTCGCGGTCAATCACTGGGGAATGTTTTTGGGATAACTGATGATGCCTGGTTACCAATTCAGCGAGCGGT